ACAGATTTTGAGATCGATTTGTGATACGATGATGACGATAATGAATAGCGAACAGAAACTTCGAATAAACTTCTTCATAACACGAGTACAAAAAATTTTCGAAGCTTTGATAATTATTTAAATTTAATAATGTGAATTATCATTCCTTTATGACAACAGTGGCAACTCCTTTGCTATCAGATCATTTGGAAAAATACAAAGTATCCAGACCACGCTGCCTGGACATCCTTCCACTCACTCTCACAGCTTACCTGGAATCGAGGTCAATACTTCCCCAGTTCCCCGGAGCACGTATTGAGAAACTTGAAAAAAGATGTTCATTTGTGAGGCATTTACTAGAGTGTCGAACGGATGCTGTTTGAAATAACCGTGTGTGTGAATGTATTTTTTTCTTTCGATCTCCATAAACCCTGGCATGAGGACAGACCCCATGGCAAACAACGTTCCGACACCCGTTTTCTTCAGGGGGGTGAAGTTGATGCCGAAGTAACGGAGGGATGGGTAAATAATGCGATCCACAATCGGTATGAGGATTAATAGCATGGTGATCTCGAAGAGATGCAGAGAGGCCGCCGGCATTGTAAAGTGCTCGGACAGTTTGAGTTTCTTGAAAGAACCTTGAAGGAGGTAGCTTGTTTAGCCCTAGGAGGAAAAGCAAGAAAAGTTGTAGACGTCACTCAAGCTCCCTTATCAGAATACCGGCAAGATCACCAAGGTTATTATAGACATTATAAGGGTAGGAAAAATAACGTTTGTGCGTGTGGCTTTCGCAGTGCCTTATCTTTGTTGTTGTTGTTGTTGGTACGACGGAGTTAAAAGCTTATAATATTTGTCAACAGCCTCAAAGTTAGCACTATATATTCTACACACAGTGTACTATTGTTCATGCAGAAGGAATTTAGTATCCCTTTGCCCTGAGGATTATACGCTAATAAATGTGTAGCATTTTTAACAGCATTTTAAGCGCAATCGAACCGCCGAAATAGCACAATTTCACTATTCTGCGCCTTAAAGGTACAAACATCGCCCATATCAGCCCCTTATCCCCACTAAAGGTGATGTAAGCACAACGTTCATGCAAACATTGCAAATATCTGGTGTCTTATGTGGAGGGGCGTAGCGAAGTAACATCTGGTGTAGCGGTCAGTTTCTTGAATAAAAAACCTTTTAACAAGACGGTATCTGAGTCAACCTGCAGAGAATCATTACTTCTACCACTAAAATCATTTGAATGAGACCCCTCAGTTAGTATCCATCTCTTAACGCTTACCTGTCCATAAA